CATAGATTCTTACAGTGAGCATAGCATGGCAGCAGTGAAAACAATCGAAAAAGAACAGAAATTCCGCGTCCATTACGCTCTGACAGATTGCTGACATGGGAGGAGGAAAGGGGTGCTGGGGTAAGTGGTCCCGTTCAGAAAATGCGAAAACTTCTTCTGCATATTGGTTGAACCCTTGTCAAAGCTCCACTCTCCCAGACTCGGGTAGACTTGTGGTTATACAGATATCCTTGTCCTGCGGCTATGCCGTCCGGCATAAAAGTTGAAGAAATATTGTGAAAAGAGTGTATGTGGTAATGTCCTCGTCCCTGCGCGATGACGTGCGTCGACGCGCGTCACTGCGGCTAAACACTGCCTGAAGTGTCATGAGATCTCATGCAACGCACTGGCGTGTTGTTGGCACGTAGCTCGAGCTGCGTACCCATTTTGGACTAGCGTACCTATGATGAATAATACCTTGCGAGAACTGCCGTTGCTGCAGTGTTCCAGGTTTAGTTCGCACATATTTTCCCCTGATGCTCTTAATGTGATCTTTCAGCTGAAAACCCAACCTGCTATCGTACGAAAGTCCGGAAGTTCCCGGTTGAAACGGATGAGGTTACTGGTTTGTTCCGTATCGGGCATGGCGACTATCGCACCAGCCCTTATCATCTTGTACATTTGTATAGTATTCATCCTAAGGAGACACGCCTTAGAAAAAAGGTTAGTGAGTTTTGTGGTGGCGTATTCGCAGGTGAAGGTACACATTATGCTGTTCTAGAGTTAAATAAGAGGAGATCATAATAGGGGCAGGGATTCCAGGAAGACTTCCAGTGCTAATTTGATTCCATTTTCACTCGTTTGTTCAGATTGCTTATCTCATGGAAACGGAAACACGCACGATTATCAGCCATGTTATGATCATGTATGACTACCATACCGAGGGTCCGGTACCTCGAATTCGTGGTCCTTACTCTAAGCGCTACATGCGACAGAAACCACGGCGGCCAATGGTACGATGCATTTTCTTTTCAAAATTTACTCCAATCTCATAACTGAAATGTTGCTTTTTCTGGGATCCAACCGATATTACATTTGAATGCTGCTTGAAGTTCTTAGGTTGATATCTATCAGGCTGGAAAGAAAGTCTGGTCACTTTTGCGATTTTTTTCTTTCTTAATTACTAGCTCGACATAGAATAGATATTAATGAGCAATGTAATCGCTATTGTTAGCCACTACAGTGTTCCATTTAACGGGCAGGTCAGCGATCACGCCCCCCCCCCTCCCCAGAAATGGGGAAAATGCGAGTCGGAAACGTCAGTGACTCCTCGAAAGATGTTTTTGAAATTGTTGGAAGTTTTCTTCGCGAAGAGCCTCGAGGAACAGATAGCATTCGTAGGCCTATGTCAGGAGAATACGATGAGGAGGTATGGTCTCATAGCTCTGCTTCTCAGTCATTTGGTACGTCCGTAGAAGTATGGGCCTAAAGAGCGCGGTGCCCCGAAGCTAGTCTCGGTCATTTTTTCCCCAACAGTTTCCACGGGTTTCTGGAGCTGAGCGGCACAAATGGTAGCGGTGACCGTGTGTTCTTACAGGGCAGCTCGTCGTTCAGCACTCTCCTCGCTCCCGGAAGTGGCATAGCAGGAACTCCTTGTAGTGCATGCCAAATTTGGCGTGCTAAGAGGGGTCTTCTCCTCGGGACAGTCACACGGTGCTGTATGAATTGGAATCAGTGAAAGAGTGTATGAATTGGAATGAGTATTTGAGTATTGCTTTACTAATTTCCATGGCACACTGTTACAGTGTAAAATAATAGTAAATAACAAAAGACCACCCTCCCATTCCATAACCAGTCGGGGATTCCTTTCGACTAGGGCGGAGAAGAGGAGCTGACAAGTGGGTATCCGGGTGCGTCGCGTGCCATCCGTCAAGGTGTGAGTGATCCATCGAGCCAGTAATTTTACGATAGCCGATGGCTTACAGGCGGTAGACGACTGCCATTTAGGTACACTCAAGTCTTATGGCAAGACTGCGAGTGGTAACCTCTGGATCCCCTTTGGCAGTTTCGAGAACAGTGGAGTCTCCCATTTCGTGGAGGCGTCCCAACCGAGGTTTGCCTTCGAGGAACGTGCTGTCTTTTGCGAAGCGCATGAACCTATCTATGGTGGACGCACCTGATGTTAGTGCTACCCTCCCATAATGCACTGTTGATGTTGCGGTCAGCTGCCTTCGCTCCACTGCCGCGGAGCCACTCATAGAAGATGATGACTCGAAGTTTTCCCCTGAAACTGACATCGTAATAAACCCAGGGAAGAGTAGGCGCCTTTGTGTACCTCTTGTGGGGAAGCATCGAGTGTGTTCCGCAAGCATAGCGTGTTACATCATATTCAGGCATCAAGACACAAAAGCTGTAAGCTTTGAAAAATACTGAGCTACATACAACTACATCAGTACATCAGTACATACCAGACAGAGGGAGAGAGTGACATTGTCAGTGTTTGTCAGTGTTCAAGGCTAGGTGGACTGTATCAATCCTTAGAGGTGTTTTTGTGATCACGCTCGTAGCCTCACCGGGTTACGGAGGACCTCTTTGCGTATTTGTCTGGCTGGACGTAATTAAGTTCCCACGCTTCAACGCTTTTCCCTTCCATAACTCGTACAAGAAGTCTGCCCAGAACATTTACATTGAAGAGCGGAGTGCGCTTGGGCATAGCTGAGCCATATTGGGGAAATTGCTGTGAGAGTGAACGGCGGCGTCGCCATCGCTGTTCTGCTGCTGTTCTGCTTACTAACCACGCTAATACGTGCATAAAGCAAAGGAATGGCGTGATCGGAGGAGCTCTCACGTTTCGGTGCGGGCTCTTCCTCCTAACCACATCACTCACCATTCGAAATGAAGAAAGTTGGTAACGGAAGGGGTAGCAGTCAAAAACGAGCTTTGGGCATCGCACTGGTCAGTGGGCGGGGCTGTAGTTCCGTCGCAGGCGGACAGCGCTTTCCTCACGTAGTCTGAGCTGCAAGATCAGACTCCTCCTCCACCGTTGTGTGCAGGACTACCATGTCCAAAAAAGGGGCCTGAACATCAAATGACGCGGGGCGAGCTTTCAAGGTCTGAAGGAGGCACTAGCGCGAAGGCTAGCCATTAAAAAATCAGTTCACTAGCTTTGAAGGTTAACGTGATTGATACCGTAGAACTGGGCTCTCCTGGGGCCTGATTTGGATTCAGATGTAAAAAAATATGATGAGGTGTGAAAGTTCATCGCAGAAGACCCTAATGACTCAGAGTAATACGGAATGGTCTTGCCCTTTTTTCATAACCTTTTCCTGCTAGCCGAGATAGTCAGGTTTGACATGATTGTGATTTATTTGCTGGTTGGTAGCAAAGTAAGAAGACTCAGCTTTTGACTATGATTGTGACCTAATTTGTGGATAGTTACATGTGTAACTGCGATATTTCACTTTTCAGATCGACATTGCTGACACTCTAGACGATGTTTCTGACATATCAGAGTCCGAAAAAGAAAGCCCTGTAAGTAATCTCCAGCTAGTTTTCTTAACAAATGTTTTGCATAGGTGACTGCAATTTGATTTCAGTTCGGACTTGGTCCTCAACAAGCTGATGATGGCTCTATCTTTTTGGATTCTAACTGATATGGAATTTTTGAATGATCGCAATCGTCAGCTTCATTACCTCATTAACAAACCACGCTTGGTGTGAGTCACTTCTTTGCGGCTTTGCTTCTTTACTAATACTGACAAAATGCATGAGAATGAGAAGTTAGTCCTCAAAATGGGATGTCGGGAGGGGGGGGGGGGGGGGGGGGGGGGAGAGAAACGGACAAGACAACCATAATTTGTCGCGTCGCCGCGCGCGGCGCGTGGTCGGTGCGGCCAGTGCGCGGCGAATCGCAGTTCACTAGTTGTCGATGGAGATATGCAGCGAATGTAATATCGAATTTTGAGGCAAAGACAAAACTTTTCAAACTAGTGATACCGAGTTCCCCATCTGTTTGATGCTCATATTTCAAACGCTGGACAGCTCGTCTATTAGGTTCGGCGTTCAGCGCCTGTAGATTATCCATTGTCTTGTCAGATACCCTTGGATGAGGTAGTTCTTGTAAGACTCACGACGGATTGTGCCTTCATCGTGTGTGCGCTTCTCCTTCTAATATGGAAAAGAGGAGGAGCGCGTTCATGGTGAAAACACGCGATGGCTGAATCATGCGGACTGTGTCATTTTAGTTTATACAGATTAATATTGTCCATTCAGTGAAAACTTGGCTTGCTTGAATAATCGAGTGCCGATGTTCCCGCCTATGACAACTTCCAGAGGGACGTTTTGTATTTTTCGTTGACGGCGGCGAAGATGTTAGGCAGAGCTGTTAATCCTTTCTCATTACTATACTCGTTAGAACTTTTTTCAGGTTGATATACGAAATTTAACTTGTGATGCTTTGTCACCATGGTCCGAGAGCTTACAAATGACTGACGGTTTGTAACTAGCAACTTGCCCACTACGTTTTCATGACGTTCATTTTCTAATTTTGTGTACGGGAGGGGGGACAAAAAAAAAGATTGATGTTCGAACATAAAATGGCTAGTTAGGGCGCTGTATAGTAGGGAAATGGTGAAAAACGGATTGAAACAATCAAAATCCTGCGAAAAAAGGGCCTCCGCTCTCACTGTTCATAATCAATTTTGGACGAGTTACCCGGTAAGGCTCTTGCCCTAAAAAAAAATAAGCGCCTACGAAGATACGGCTGAATATGTGTACTCATATATCCATGCAGCATCACGACCGCTTCATACCAATGCCTTCGCTTCATAATTTGCTTAGCAAATGAATCAGTTAGAGCGTCTGGAACAGTCGTCCATTTGTGGGCGGGACGGGCGTGGCGGGCGTTTTGGTCGTAAAGTTGTGGCTTGATAGCGCCCTTATAAGGGCATCTTCCCTTCGGAAAAGGCATTAATGCAAGCCCTGCCTCAGGCGTCGCGAACTCCGTTCCTTGCCAGGCGTATCAGTCGCTGCTCGTTCGTTTGGAGGATTTATCGTGCCAACTGCCTTCAAAGCACCCTTGAAAGCATGAAGGTTAGTGAAGCGATAAATCCTTGAGACGACCAGGATTGATACGCCTAGGAGGACGGAGTTTGACACCCCTGAGTAGGCGCTGCGCTGCGCCTTTTGCAAGGAAGATACGCCCAGTCAAGCAGCAACATATCATCTCGCCCGCCCACGAATGTCCGACCCCTCCTACTGCTCCTACCGCTTCATGTGCGAAGTACAATGTTAGGCGAAGCGATTAATATGCTGCATGGATAGATGAGTTCACATTTGCAGCCATATATGCCGTAGCGGTTATTGGCATGATCCAACCGGAAACTCGTCCGAAGTTCAAGACTTGTAGAACAAAGGCTTTTTTTATAGGCTTCTGACCATTTCACTTCGCTTTTATCGTTATTTTCTCGCTATAAAGCTCCTCTGATGCCTCTTCAGGCCGAGCACTAATTTGTCGTGCCTTACGCCTTAAAAGAAACGCCCCTCGTTGATTTCATGCGCCTCCGTAAATACACGAGGAAAGCTCTATCTGCTCGCGATGGAACCCTAACCACGGCGACGCCAACATTCATCTTTATGTGCTGCCTGTTAGTGTGATTGTTCCGCTACTAATTTCTCCCCTCTCCATTCCGAATGGTAAAAGTGAGACGGTAAGAGCTAGCACCAACGAGTGAGATCTCGTTCGACCACGTCCTTTCTTCGCCGTATGCACTTACAAAAGCGATTCGGCATGTGGTGCTACATGGGACATTTTGTTTTTTTTTCTGATTTCTTCTTCATTATTGTGTTATTTACCATCCTGTCATTAATATTTGAGCCGCACAACTCATATATTGAACCCGGCGGTGCCTATAGCCTCGTC